ATAAAATATAAAATATCAATTAAATAATTTCATAAAAATGTTTGAGTAAAATCCATTCAGGGATTTAGATAGGGAAAATTCTCGAAATATGAGTAAAAAAGTTTGAAAATTCCAAAATAGGACTGCCATATTTTCCCCCCAAAATAGGAGTAATTACTGCCAAGTTTGGAAAATAATATCATGTTTAAAGTCTGGTACTGCCAAAACATGGTAGTAATTAGTCTTATTTTGGGAATAAAAACATGGTTGTCCTATTTTGGAATATACAAACGTTTTAGTCCTATTTTGGGTAATTTCTCTTTTTTTAACAGAAACTTGCCTCTATTCATATCATAAGTTTCAGGATCATTACATCAATCAAAAGAAAAACAAATCAGACACCAACTAAACTCCAACAATTACGACTGTAAACCCTATGATCAGACTTAGAGACGGTCACCCTTGAAAGAGCAACATGAATCGCTAACCATGCAGCGGGCTTGACACATAGACGGTAACAAGAAACCAAATGATAAAATAATAAAAAGAAGACTATATTCCAAAACAATCTGATAAACCTAACAACATAGACGGTAAAAAGAAACCAAATGATAAAATAATAAAAACTAATAGGAGGAAGATGAAACATGAAAAAAACTAAATAAGCAAAACAAGTATCTTGAACTCTAGCATCTCGTTCATCCCTTGCGGTGATTCACGAGGAGATCGTACGATCGCTATAATTCGTCTTATGCAATCAAGCATAATGCCCACTTTTGTAAAAGCTTATGGTGATAAATTGATATACAAAGACGAATAATCAAGTTTAGTCGTCTAAAAATTGATCAGCAAAATATTTTTTTGGGTAAAACTGTTTACCACTAAAGCACTATTCACTTAGACCTATATCAATACTAGACCAAATCAGATCAAATTTAATCTGATTATACTTCATTAAATTATTAAATTTTGGGAAAATTCCCCGAAATAGGACTAAAAGAGTTTGAAAATTTCAAAATAGGAGTGTCATGTTTTTTATTTTCAAAATAGGACTAATTACTGACATGTTTAGAAAATAATGCCATATTTGAAGTCTGGTACTGCCAAAACATGACAATAATTAGTCATATTTTGGGAATAAAAACATGACAGTCCTATTTTGGGATTTTCAAACTGTTTTAATCCTATTTCGGGTAATTTCTCTTAAATTTTCAACAATGTAATATTTCGTTGTTATTTGCCATTTAAGGCGCTGTCTTAAGAATTAATCAACTCATTTTCACGATATTTTGTCATGACCATATTCGGTCATTTGGCATCAAAGTTTCACCTTCGAATATGGGCCACCCCTTAAGCTGCAGAACTACCACCATTAATTTGTTACTTAAATTTTTGCTTAGACAATTAGACCTAATAAATGACTCCTATCCATTTCACCTTTAACAGACGAAGTACTCCGTATCTTTTTATTACTCTCTCCGTTCCATATTTATCTTCACAAGTATAATTGGCACACATATTAAGATAGTGAGAAATGTATGCTGGAGAATTGTGCAGAGGAAAGAAAAATCTATAAGAATGTGTAAGAATTGTTGTGAACCACAAATTCTTTGCTAAAAGGGGAAAGAGGAGATAAATTTGGACAGACCGAAAAGGAAAGTATGAAGATAATTCCGGGACGAAGGGAGTAGTTGTCATTTTTCGAACTGTGGTACTGCGTACTACTTATTACATAGTACGGAGTACGTTTTTTTACCAATTCGGAGTATTTTTATAAGGATGACACTCCATCCCTGAAGGCCCCTCAACCCCGACCTGATGATACGTTGGGAGGAGTATTTTTATAACTAATCAATTCAAAGGTGTCAAAAAAGAAACACAAATGCTATTGTTACCCCAAATTTGTACCCCATTTTGTACCTCCTCTCTATATTTGTGGTTCACAAAGGCACTTCATTAAAATAAAGCAATTCATTTAATGTGTTGGAATTTTGTGAACTACCAATACAGGAAGGGTACAAATGGGGTACCAAATTGGGTACCTCAAAACTCAAAAAGAAAAACTCAATTCAAAGAATTCACCACTAAATCGTTTAAAGAGGTGAACCGCAATTCGTTGAGTTTGTCATTCAGATTCCCAGCATTGCATCTACTGTCTATGCATAGAGAAAACATCTGTCACAATTCACCATATTCTAGGGCAGGAATTATCCGGGAATAGTTTGTGAATATGAGCAAATTTATGCTCTCTCCGGTCCTAAATAAAATCAAGTATTTAACTTCACACAAATTAAGAAATTAAATTTGATTTTACTGTAGAGTACTGTAGTGACATTATTTGGCATTATTTGGCATTGTTTGATACTGTTTGACAGTATTTTGATGTAGATAATTTGTAAAATAAGGAATGAAGAAGAAGTGTGAACTTTATTTTGGACCGGCCCAAAAAGGAAAGTGTGAAATTTATTTAGGAATGGAGGGAGTATTACATATTCTCTCAATCATGTCACAAACAGTTGACTACAATAAGATTTTTCGTGAAGTTAGTTATAAATCGTAATATATTTGTTCCACAAAAAACATGAAAACATACTTAACACATTTCAATTAATATAAATTGAGAATGCACAATTATATCTAAATATCAGTTTATATTTAGTGCAAAAATGTAATTGAAAAAATCTATAAATTATACTACCTCCGTCCCACTATGATTGTCTTATTTTACCATATCGGTCCATCCTACTAAGATTGTCCCATATTAAATTTGGTAAAGTTTGTGTGGCTCTAAATCATTCTTACTTTATTCTTACTTTATCAATTCAATATTAACCACATAAACCACTTTTTATTAATTTATGTGTCACTCCCTCTTGTCCCATTGTTAGCGGGACGGAGGGAGTACTACCTTCGTTCTCTTTTAGTTGCAACGTTGGTGATTTTACTTTATTCACATATTTTACTTGGACTATATTTATTTTACTAATTATTAATGTATTACAAATTAAATTTTTAAAAAAATAATGTTAATTTCTATCATTTTAAATTATCAAAATTTGAATTTTTTAATTTTTCTAACTAGTAAAGAATGAAAGATTAAAAAAGAGCGGAGAAAATATCAGAAATAAAAATTGTAATGAAGTAGTTTAATCTTTAAAAATGTAAAGACTTATGAAACAAAGAGGATAGAAAGCACAGAATGGTAAGATAAAAACAAGGGCTGTTAACGAACCGAGCCTAGCCCGAACACCATAGGCTCGAGCTCAGTTCGATAGTGTTTTGATAGTGCTCGAGTTCATGCTCGAAGCTCGACGAGCTCTAATTATTAGGCTCAAGCTCGGTTCGATCTGTGTTCGAAGCTCGGTACGAATACTCGATAGGCTCGAAAAAAGTTGGATCAAAAAAGTTCGATTAGAGCTCGAGTTCGAACACAAGCTCGTTTAATGAACAAAAGTTCGATTAGAGCTCGAGTTCGAAAAAGTTCTTCATAAGTGATACCCCGTAACAAATAAATAGGTATTTGAATTAGTAGATAAGAAAGTAAAGTGGACATATGGGTAAGAAATTATACTAGTATATTTATATATGTGTTCTATAGGCTCGGTAACGTATCGAACCGAATACCTTTATGTTCGAGTTCGGCTCGTTTTTTTTTCGAACTGTAATTGGAGCTCATATTCGGATTCGGAGTTCGTTAAGCTCGAAAATGAACACGGGCTGAAATTGCTCAATAAATGTTCGATTCGATAACAGCCCTAGTAAAAACACTCGAGATGGGAGTCGAACTCCCGACCTTAGGAAGGATAGTCAGGCATGAAATTAATAATTCCAATGCACCAAACAAATATTTGTACTCTCAGCGTAATTAACGTATACTACCTCCGTCCTTTAAAACTTTGCCAACGTTGACCGGCACGGAGAATAATAAAGTAAAAATTGTGTGGTTTAGATTTGTGCAGAGGAGAGAGAAATAACAGAAACCACAAAATAATTGATTAAAAAGGAAAGTGTCAAAGATTTTGGGACATCCCAAAAAGAAAAGATGACAAAGTTTGAAGAGACAGAGGGAGCTGCCCCCACTATCCCATAGTAGATCCGCCACTGTTCAAGGTGTTCATGTGTGTGAACCGTGAAAACCAAAAGTTTTGAACACCAAATGCAAAAAAAAAACTCCCCATATGTATACATTTAATGAAATAATTTATATATTGTGTTTTATTTAGTATTCTTGTTTTTTATTACATTTACTATTGTTGTGTTAACATTCTTTTAATCCTTGGATCAAACAATACTATTACTCAAAATTTTAATTATTAAATACATTGAACTGCCTTTTTTTTTTGTTGGTTAATCTGCGGCATCTAACCCCTAATTTCTAAGACTTCTAAGTTCTAAGACCGACGGTGGTACTTCACACAACTCTAAATGTTGAGTAAGTGATGATCTTCAAAACAAAACCAAGTAGAATATCATCGGTTGGGGATCAGAAAACCCTCCAATTTTAATAGTCAAACATTTAATAGTCTAGAATCCAGATTAAATATCCTTTCACTCATAAATAAATCACACTTGAGTTTTTAGAGCCTTCTTATACACCCTTTCTTTTTGGTATAAAGAAAATTCTTTAAATATGAGTAAAAATGCTTTGAAATTTCAAAATATGAGTATTATGTTTTTTTCTGTATTACCCGCACGGGTAGCTCAGTTGGTCGAGCGTTGGGAAAATTGGACCAAGTGATTAAAGTTCGAAACCTGCGGCGGCCGTGTGGAGGTTATAGAACCTGAAATAAGGCTTAACCTCTAGTGTGCACGTGTATAAGACCTACCGCCGTTTTACTGACTGAGTCACCGTAATTAACCTCTCCACCATCCTGTCGGGTCGGGTGGGGGCTCGTGAGGCGAAAGATTCCACCTTTTGGATCATGTTTTTTCTGGATTCCCTGAGTAAATTTATGCCAATTTTGAGCAGCATGTTCGCCGGCTGGGTATTGCATTTCCCATTGCGTTTTTTATTACAGTATTAATAATCAGTTTCAGTCTTTCTCAGTCCCCTCCCTCCCGCAATGAAACAGAGTACATAAAAAGCTTCTCGCTCACCATTTCCTCTGCAAATCTGGTTCCCCTCTTCTGCCAAACCCTGTCTTCTTCTTCCTGATTGCATCCATGTGGCAAAATCGAACTAAAACCAAGATCAGGGTTCTTGCTAATTCTTGCTCCACTTTCTCCTTCAAAGATATACAAACCCTATTCGCCGACGATCCGACCCGCCTCAACAACCAGGCCCACTTCTCCAAACATTATATCATTCACCGGGCCCGCCTCGCCAACGCTCTCCTCCGTGCTCTATCGCCTCAGCCGGAGCCCTTCCCCGTTCCTCAATCTCTGCCGGTGATCTCTCTCCCGGGATCCGAGAAGCAAATTGTCGTCTACTCCACCAGCCTCCGTGTGGTCCGCCGGACTTTCAGCGATTGCAGAGATGTTCTGTCGATCCTGCGGAGCTACCGCGTTTCGATCGACGAGCGGGATTTGTGCGCCGACGCCAGATTCGTGGATGAGCTCCAGCGGATTCTCGGCGTCCGTGATAGGACGAAGTTAACCTTGCCGCATGTCTTCATCAGGGGGAGGTACATTGGCGGCGCGGCGGAGATCAGGCGCCTCCATGAGGCCGGTGAGCTGAAGAAGTGCGTGGAAGGTCTTCCGCCGGCGAATCCCGACGCGTGCGAGGTGTGCGGCGGGCACGGATATATCCTCTGCGACGAGTGTAGCGGAAGCCACAAGGGCTTCTACGGCGATAAGCTTGGCGGGTTCAGCACGTGTACGGCGTGCAGTCAAAGTGGTCTGACCATCTGCCCGTCTTGTGCGCCCTTCTGAGCCGTCCGATTGGATTTACCAGGTGACGAAAAAATTGGGAAAATGTGTACACACTATACTATACGAGCAAACACAATGGATCTACGTATTGGTTGGTGTGCTCAAGCTCATAATAACTTGACTTTTTTGGTTTTTTTTAATGTACTCCCTCCCTCCTTTGTTGCACGTATTAATAAAGTAAAAAATGTATGATATTTGTATAGAGTAGAGAGAAATAATTTTAACCACATATTTGTTACTTTAATTAGAAGTGACAAAATTTTTTGGGACGGCCAAAAAAGTAATGTTGACCAAATTTTATGAAATGGAGGTAGTATATTTTTTCATTTTTCATATTTAGCCAATTTCTATAATGTTTAGGTCTGGTATAATTTCTGCAGGGTATCTCAGATCCGCCTTTGCGAGCAAATTTTGAAACAAGAGTAAAAACGTTTTAGAATTACAAAGTAGATTATGGTGCAATATTCTAAAAGGCGTAAGACGTGTTGAAGCGGCATGATCAAGCATTGAACCTTTGAAGCCTAAGTGAGTATAGGCTAGATATAGACATGAAAAGACGTTTTGATTTTTTCATTATAATTTTAATTTTCATATCTTCATTTATTAGAATGTAAATTTAGTATTACCTCCCGCTACATTCAGACTTGAAGAGGTGGTAAACTTATTAATAAAAGAGCATTTATGTGGTTGATATTGAATTTATAAGTTATAATGATTTAGAGTCACATAAACTTATTAATAAAAGATCGTTTATATGGTTGATATTAAAGTTCAAATTTTCAAAATAGGACTAACTCTTTTTATTTTATTCTTTCTCGTGTCCTTCCTAATATGATATTTTTAAATAATCATTATAAAACATAAAAAATCAAAATCGTAAAAAATAAATAAAAAACAAACACATCTCAACCACCACCTCAGCCACCTTCTAGCACTGCTACCTCCGATCGCCGGAAAATATTTCCCAGTTGGGGGTGTCATCGTGATATGACAATTTTGAAAAGAACGCTGAATATTTTTAAAGAGTGAAAAAGATAAATCTTCTTGGCATTTTCAGAGAAATATAATATTTTTACACAAGATGACATTTTTTTCTGCGATTGAAGGTGGTGGTTCTAGAAGGTGGAGGATGACGAGGTAGTGGCCTACATATTTTTTAATAATTTTTGAGTATTTTATTTTATTTTTTTGTTTTTTTAAGTTTTTTAGATATTTTTTATTTTATTTTTTAAAATTTTATTTTATTTTATTTTGTTTTTTCCCGACTTTTTTATTAATTTATAAAAAAATAACCTTTATGTTTTTATTATAAGTAAAACTATGATTCTTTTATCAATAAATAAATATATTAGAAATTATACGTTGGAAGTAGAATAAGAAGAAGAGATATACTCTGTATATATATTACTCCTATTTTGAAAATAAAAGAAGTATACTCCTAATGTGGAATTTTGGGCTACTTTAAATCTCGTTTAGGACCAATAACATGAAAATCTACTTTGGAATACACATCTTTTTTATTCATATTTAGGACAATTTTCCTATCTTACACACTTTTGTGAACTACTACTTTTTGTCCCTAAATAGTCCCACAAGTTTTAATTTTAATTTGGCATTGCCCCACAAGTTTTAATTTTCACAGTTTGGTTGCATTTTGTTTATCTTACCAAAAGGTGCGTGTTATTGAAAAATTTACTTTTGACACGTTCTTATATACATCCGTACACATCCGTGTCTGTGAAAGTTTTTTTTTTGTCAATCTCAATCGACAGACAAAAACTGATTTGTTTTGTCTGTAGAATTTTCTACAGACAAAAGAAGTCGATTTTGCCTTTGAACTGAAATTCAAAGACAAAATAACTTCTCACAAACATGGAGGTGTATTGATGTTAATAAGAACGTATACTCTAATAATTTTTGCTTTGTTGTTATTTGTGTTAAGCAGGAGAGTTTAGGAGTGCGTGAGGGCAGTAGGGCCATAGCAGTCTGGACTCATGATTTGGGTGGTCGTATAGTCAGTGAAAACATGAGACACGTGATGATGTTGCATTCGTATAATACCGTTATAGGACGTAATAAATTCAAATACCACTATGATTATTTGTCTATGAATAAGGTACAATACTGCAACATTATACGGAGTAGTCTCTATATATCCTATTGAGACAATAACTTTAAAATATCTTATTATTGGTACACAAACGAAAATAATGATAATATCTTAAATATACTCTGAGAAAATTTATATTATCCTATCTGCTCATTCCGTCTCTATAATTATCCCATTTTTTCATTTTTGGATGACTAATTTATTCTTACTTTATTCCTATTTTAGCAACTCATTATTGACCATATAGTTTCACTTTTCTTAAAAATCACATCACTTCCTTCCATCTCAATATTAAGGGGACAGAGAGAGTATTATGTTCTTGACCTTTACAAATATGTGGAGCTTAATTGATAAGCGGAGTAATAATAACATAAAAAGTCGATGACGTGTATAAGAGTGAGATACAATAAAAATTACATGTAGGGTGATGGATTTTGGTTCTACAAAGAAACATTTACTCATCGGCCAAGGGGATAAACTATTTTTGCATATTTAAGAACATGAAGGAGAGGAGCCAGAGGACATTAAGAAAGTGATGGTTTGACAATTTAGTCATTATTGCTAGCTAATTTGGGTTTCTTTATAGTGATGACTCAGAGTTTTATTGAATTAAATATGGGCTCTAAAAAATTCACCATAATATTTTAGAGAAGTAAATATATATCGTTTGATTAATTTGTCTGGTTCCCACCAATGCCACCATATATACTCGTAGAAAATTGTTCTTAATTCATTATTTGCGCGCGTTCCAAGATTCGTAACAAAACTCTTGAGAGAATCACCACTGACTTTCAAACACAATCCAGTTGTCAACAAAAAGCTAACACTCACACGGTCACTTCACCCGAGATGAAACATTGATTGCGTTTGGAGGATCATAATTTAAGAAAACTTTCTCAAACTCATCTCTTTGATTACTTGAACTCAAGACTTCCGACAATGGGAGGATCTTAAATGCAGGTAGGGGAGAACATATCGGTTTGTGGTTCGGTTTTTATCGGTTTTGTTTGAGTTTGATTTGGAACAGATTTGAAGATATATTACCAAAAAATCATACTCCCTCCGTCCCATTATTAACTCTTCATTTGACCAGGCACACATATTAAGATAGTGAGAATTGAGTGGTGGAGAGTTGTGCGGAAGAGAGTGAAATGTGTGAGAATGGTTGTAAGCCACAAATTCTTTGCCAAAAAAGGAAAGAAGAGATAAATTTGGGACGGACCGAAATGAAAAGAATGGAGATAATAATGGGACGGGGGGAGTACTACTTTTCAGTTTGATTCGGTTCAGTTTAGTTCAGTTTGATTTGATTTGGATTTTTTAATTTTAATAACATATGACGGTTTTATTGAGTTTCTTTAGTTCGGTTATATTTAATTTTTCTCGATTCGGTTTAATACAGTTTGGAAGAAATGCTATGTTGAATTCCTACGCCGGAAACTTGTGAATGACTTAAGTGCTATGTTAAGATTTGGATTACTCCTCCTATCAGGTTGACCTTCTAGGTTGACACCTCAGATTTTAACATGTTATTAGAGCCAAACTCAAACCATTATGCAAATGATTCGATTTCAGTTCGGTTTAATTCGATTTGATACGATTCTGTTAAACCAAATTGATATGGTCATCCCTAAGTATACGTAGTAGACCAATAAGACCAATCCCAAGTCAAAGCTAGCTCATTTGATGAGCGAACATAGATAAAATCCAGCATTAGTAGATGAATGTTGTCTATTTTTTTATTAGTGTGTACATAAATGTACATTTTTAATTTTTCAATTATAATTTTTTTGGCTCTCCACTAATGAATTTTTTTTACGCTTGAAATTTCTATTATATTATGGTGTTTGGGAATATTGTGAAAATATTGTGCAACAATTCACAATTTAGTACTATGATCAGTGTTACATTGTCCAAACTAGGGTTGGACTCGGGTCGGGTCGGGCCCGGGCCGGGCCTAGGCCCGGTCGGGCCGGCGGTTCTATATAGCTGGACCCGGGACCGGCCCGGGTAGCCACCGGGTCCGGTCTGGGTCCGGGCCGGGCCGGGCCTCGGGTTTGGTTATTTTTTTTTTTTGCTTAGCTACCCATCCCTGACCCCCCCCCCCCCTCACCCCCCAAACCCCTCCTAAACCTCAAGCCCAACCCGGTGGAGCCCAAACAAATGAAAAAAACAAAAAAAAAAAATAATAATTTGGCCCGAACCGGACCCGGGCCCGGCCGGACCGGAAACCCACCGGGTCGGGCCTACCCGGACCGGTCACTGACCGGGCCACCGGTTCGGTCCGGGCCGGAACAGTACCGGTCCCGGGCTGGTTCCAGGTCGGGCCACCCGACCCGAGTCCAACCCTAATCCAAACACTGGGTCTTGGCATACCGAGTGGAAACTGACTTTATTGCAACTTCTACAATTATCCAAGGATCAAAAGTGAGAAGTGTCTATGCGTATATCATTTTTATTCAGTTTACTTGACATCTTATCCAAATCACTTTTTTAGTTAAGTATGAATCTCCTAGCACAGTTTGTGAAAGAGTTTACTTAACATCTTATGCAAATCACGTTTTTGGAACAAATGAATTTACACAAGGACATGTCTCAATTAATTAAGCTTGCCTAAAACGTTCCCAGCACAGTTCGTGACTAATTATTGATCTTGTCATATTTTGACTTACATAAAGGAAGCCAAAATATGACAAAGATCATTCATTTTGTAATGACAAAATAGTTCTAGACCCAGAATTGAGACCCGACCCAGGTGCATCCCTAATAATAAGATGCCAAAAGCATCCCCATTTTGTAGGTCTGAACTTGAGATTTTTTTTAGTGAATAAAACTTTCAGACAGCTTGAATTACACCAAGGCTTTATATTAATGCTGATATCAAGTGTCCCTACATTTAACGCTTATATTACTCATCCTGTAAAATTTACGCGTTGACTTTGGACAATTCTGTCATGTCTGAACAACACTTATAACAACACTTATAAGAAACTTGTCGAAGTTACATTATCACAAACAGAAAGCATAAAATAGCAAACTAAGCAAAGGAAACAGCTTCCGTTCATTGTTATTATACACATGTGACATGTACAAATCTGGGATGAGCTTTTAAGGGTCTTGTATCGCAATTCAGAACGAAGCTTCTTTGGCAAACAAGATTCACGTCTCGAGTACATTAGAGAAGAAAAAACGTGCCAACCCCCCATAAAAAGAAAAAAAAAATCAGTACTTGTATGTTCAGTCCGGAAGGATCAATGCTTTGTTTAAAATATGCCACACCCAAAAAGCAGATTCTTCAATCTTCAACATGTCATGTGTTTTTTGCTTTCTGTGAAATTCTAGTCTTTAGTTGAACAAACTAATTTTTTCCCATTGTCAGGATCCTAAGCGGGCCCAGCCTGCCCGTAATATGTACACGCACTGTCGAGGGTGACCCCGTTTTGCCCCTGAATCAGTGTTGCCGTCATCATTGCAGACCTGGTTGCTGTTTCAGGGAAAGAAGAAGCTCAAACCCTCTGGCTGGCTGCTGTTGCTAAGGGGTGGATTTGTCTAGTGTACGGTGATACAGATCGAGGGTGTCTTTGTGAGAGGGATCCAAACAGAGTGCTGCTTCACAATCTCTGAGAGCACAAGTTTGATCACCCATTGACTCGTGGAAGGCAGCTCTAAGGTTGAGCATTTGCAAATCTGGTTTGAAAGAAATGGCTCTTGTCAGCTCTTCCACTGCTTCTGCTTCCATTTGGTCATCCATGAGCACTGAGTCCAAGCCATTTCAATATATTATTATAACAAAAAAGGGAAATAGAAAAATTGATAAATTAACGGTAATGACTTAATCAGTAATAAATTAGGCTGATAGCAACTAGCGTTAGAAAGGAGGTATAAGAAAAAAGTTCAAATGGGGAAAAAGTAATGTTTAGGTCACTTAGGTACTCATGCTGGGTTGCGCCAGAGGCCAATTTTATTTTATTCTAAAAAAAGTACAGGTTGAAAAGTTCGATTGTTACAACGCCAAAATAAAAATTCTTACTTTAACAAAAGAAGTAATGAAATATCCTGTAATTTTCCAAACAAAAAATATAAACAATATAAGTTTGATAAATGTAGTTCAACTAACAAAGATATTCAAAGCTATAAGCAGGAAATCAAGTGTTTTAGCGGATGTACATTTCCAAAAATAAAAGGTTAAACTTGATAATAATGATTTTTGAGTCACTTTACCATTGATCGCTATTTGATCTTTACCAAGATTGGGGTTGTAGGTCAGGTCATATTAAAACCCAACAATACTCACAAACTTTTTTTATAAAAATAAGATTTTGAAAAGATCATTCTATTCTACTGTTATTTAGAAACAGTAGAATAGATTAGCACGTTGCTACTCAAGTGCCCTAGAAATCAAGCATACAAGGGCACATCAAGGATTAGCACGCGTTTATTAGTAGTCCAACATCTTTTGGAGTTTCCTAACCAAGAAACAGTAGAGGGGAGTAAAAAAATAGTAAACTACCAGCTGCTCTATATCTGTAAGGGTACGTTCTTAATGGATCCAGTTGTGTTGCCATGCTGAGGTCGTTATTTGCCATATCACGATCACAATATTCTGACCGTTTCTCGTACGCTGAAGCCTTGTTTTGTGCCTTCTCTATAAGCTTTGTCATTTCAGCATAGGCAGATTTCTTATCCTGTTTTAGATAATAAACGCGTGCTAATCCTTGATGTGCCCTTGTATGCTTGATTTCTAGGGCACTTGAGTAGCAATGTGCAGCATGATCCAGCTTTCCACAATCAACGTAGATACTCCCTAAGTTATTCAGTGCCTGCCAAATGATTTCGCACATGAGTTGCAACTATATACACATCAATATGAACTGATTACTGATATGATGCTTGCCTCAATCACAACCATCCTATCTCTTCGGATGGGCATCGGACAGTTGTGATCATTATTGTAGCCAGGGCTCCCGAAATTAGAGTTCATAGTGAGCCAGAAAATTTATTCATTCATATAATTTTTTAGTTTAAAACATTTTGAATTTGGGTAGGCCAGGCCTGGGTAGCCATCAGCTACACTACTGATTGTGAGCCAACAAGAAGTGGTCAACCCACATATGATCGCTTGTTGGATGGCAACTATCCGATT